CACCAAAATTACAATCCTCGCCTCCAAAACGAAATTTGAAATTTACGCAAAATTTCCTCTAATCATAAAAACCTCCAAAATTTACCAATTTTTCCCCAAAAAAATATCACAAAACCCACCCACCTCGCAATGCTCTTCTGCGCCCTCACATGAGCAGCCGCAAACGAATCAACAACATAAACCGTCAACTCCGTCCACGACGATGCGAAGTCCGTCGATAATCTAATACGACATAATAAAATTATGGTATGCACGCATGCGCAACCTACCGCATTTTCTGTTTTAATCTCCATAACGCCGCTCTCTCCTTAGATTCGAGTCGCCTTCTTAGCTTGTTCCAATCGTTCATCTTTTTTTCTACCTGAAATGATGATAATAAAGAATAATAATAACATTTCCACGTATCAATGGAGTTTCACAACCCGTTTTACGCGTAAAACTCCGTGAAAAACTAGGCGATATTCGCGGTGATATTGCATATCACTAGGGTGATGAAACTCCATTGGGAAAAATATATTTTCGCTTTCCTCAGCAATTTTCTCACTAAGTAAAGGAGTTTATATACAAACTCGGGTACAAAAACGAAGTCGAGTTTCCCAAAATTTCCTCGAAATTGTCACCCTGCATATTTTTACCCTCTACCGCTACTCGAAAAAAGCACGCTAAAAATTATTTTTCTTCAATTTTTTACGGGAAAAAGTTAACAAAATTTACGTTGTATAAATCATTGGAGTTTCACCACCCTAGTGATATGAAAAAAACACTTGTGAAAAATATATTTCACGACTACTGCATATCACCGCGAATATCGCCGAGTACTACACCACTCAACGTAAAACAGGTGAAACGCCATTAAATTGAATTTCCTCCGTCACGATTCGACTCTCCTTAACCCCTTACATGAAACTGTTTCGCCGTATCGACGCTATAAATCAACAACTGAGCCGCTGTCGAGTTCCTCGGTAGCAGCCCCAAGTCCATGAAATCCCAATACCTACCAAAAATCACCATCATCCTAAGAATTTCCCAGAAATTTCCTCCAAAATTTTCGTAATATCACCAACACATGTA